AATTGGCAAAAATATATATATATATATTTATATATATATATATATAATTCTCTGGATTGTTACAATATTAATTCAAAAAAAGAAAAATGATGATGTGTTGCTTTTTCTTGGTCCAGTATCTCGAGAGACCTAGAGACATTTTATGAGTAAATGAGACCCTAGTGACTAATGACTGTAGTATGTTACAGACATGGTTATATCAAATGCTTGATCCAATGCAATGGATCATGTTAATCTTATTTTTCAGATTTTTTGTGTTTCCACCTAAGAACAAATTCTGTGGGGCTTTTTGTTAACATTGTAATTATAGTCGTTAGTCACTAATAGGTTAACATTGGCAAAATGTCTCACAGCAGATACAGCAAAAAAAAATACCATTATTGCTACTAGAACTATTCTAAACACTACTTGCTCCTACAGCACTTACAGCACTCTCTATGCTGCGGGCCGTCTCTCCAAACAGCTCCGACTTGGGGTCCTCCATCTCGGGGGTGTAGAAAATCTCCTGGCCCTCCACCTGGTCCAAGTGCAGGAAACCGCTGAACCTCATGGTGGCTGGAAGGAGAGGAGGCGAGGAAAGCAGATGTGATTCTGAAACACCACAGCTCAAACCTTCTTTTACTATCACTCAGTTCCCGCTGCCTTCACACAGTGCTCGTCTTGGGGAAGTGCCAGTTTTGGGTTAGTGATGGACTGTGTGTTTGTGTGTTTTTGACAAAGGGAGGTTAGTGAGTTTGTTGCTGATTGCGTGGGGGTTTAAACAAGGAGGGTTGAAGTTTGGCTGTTAAAGGAGGACGGAGTGGTGGTGGTGGAGGTTGTGGTGGTGGAAGAGGTGGACTGTGAGATATGAGTGAAGAAAGGGAAGAACAAAGAAGAAGGAAAGGTGGAAAAATGGGCCAGTTTTACCAGACCGAGACTCGTCCCAAAAGCTGGCCGAGGCATGGAGGGCTGGGTAAAAAGACAACAAGTTAGACACACAAGTACATGAAAGAAAAAACAACACACACACACTAAAGAGGAAACAGCGCACAGGCACTCTCAAAAGTGCCGTCTTCAGCAAAGAGAAAGCCTCCCTGTCCGACCTTGGGGGTTATGTTGTCCAACATTTATCAACTCTCTATATGGTTTCTTCATACTGCCGCCAGAGAGGGGAGGGCTCGAAATAAAGCTGAAAGTGGTGGGGAATTGTGTGTGTGTGTGTGAGGTGAAGAACGGAGGAGCATGCGAGGCGCTGATGCCGGGCTTCCACACCGCTCGTAATCAGCAGAACAAATTGCCCAAATCAATCATGGCTGCCCCTGCCTGAGCAACGCCAGGGAGAACGGGAAGAGCACTTGTATGATTATCGTGAAAGATAGCCGTAATTGTCTCTTTAATGCCGCCAGACCGGTGACTGACACAGCCTGGTTAAAATTGCATGAAAAGGACAGCAGCCTCTGCCGACACTCGCCCGCCTCCCCACTCACGTTCTCTCTGTCTCCCCTCTTTACAGTACTTTCACGGGCAGCACACATCGATTCAGATGTGAAGGCAGCCATAAAATAGAGGCAAAATGGGCGAGGTTTGGCCGATAAGATGAAGGGGGAAGGAAGGAAAAGAAGGGGGACAGCGAGAAAGATCTTGACTTTTAATCTGCAAAGAAGACAAACATCAGAGAGGGTGATTTTCCAGCCCACTACCGTGACGGACGTAAAGAGAGAAAGAAAGGGGGCTATAAAAGGAGGGACAGAGCTATTTGACTATCAGATTCTAGTGAACTGTAAAATGTAATGGATCTGTCAGACTTCCACTGGCATATGGAAGAGTTTACAGTAGCTGGAGCTTAGTGTGCCATTAACTTTGGCTGGTCATTATCTTTGATGTCATATGCATGGGTTAAATGTAACATATGGAGGTCCTGCAGTGTTTCTTTTTTTAAGTTAACACATTACGAACAAATGCACTTACAGTTCTCAGGGTAGATTATCTCAACACCTGGACAAATACACCCAAAACTATGTCCATGGTTGAATACTATAACAAGTAAGTGTTAAAAAAACAAGTTTAAAAATACATTCTTCACCAAGGTCTGACATCCACCGTGAAGCTTTACAGCTGAATACAAAAAGGGTTTCATAGATCTCCTTGAGTGTGTGAATGTGTGTGACTAAACTCAACCTTGAGCCACTTCACCATTTGATGTCTCAATAAACTGTGCGGATTGGAACAGCGAACAATTAGTCCTTTTCGTTCTGAGACGGCAGAGAGCTCATGTCAATATATCGGACAGCACAATGAGACGGCGGATATTCTAGCATGAGGGACGTGTCATTTCACTTCTAATGAGCGCAGGATCGGCTAAGCCCTCCTCAGGAGAGAAAAGGATCCGGCTTATCGATCAGCCTATCGCACTGCCTGCTTTTATTGGTATCACTTGAGCTGAATGAAGTATTGATCGCTTGTATGCCGTCATTGTCGGGTGAGATAAATATTTACAGGCTTTGGCGGATTTGTTACAACTGTTATCTTACAGCTAAAACCTGTTACAGGTGCTCATACAACACATGCTTCTATCGTCGCCTGGATTTGGGGCCAAAGATCATCCAATCCGAACTCAATAGATGTGCCACCCTTTAACCTCTTTTTGGTTTTTATTTTATAAAGGAAAAAAATGGCAAAAGGCTATGGAAGGCCAAAGGCAGCCTCATATCTTCACATCATGTTGTGGATTGTGTGGCAGTGAACTCTGCTGGTTTATTGGAAGGCTTCGGGACCTTCAACACGGCAGAAATGCAACTCTGCGCACTAATTTGTGGCCTTGGCTCTTTCAAGTCGTGACCTGTGGCTCCCACGGGAGCCGGAGAGAATCCCTCCTTTCACAATCAGTCAGGCTAACACCGCTGGGACAAATACAGAGCAGATTTCAACCGAGGGACGGAGGGAGAGAGAGATGGAGAAGCAAAGGGGAGAAAGAAGCCCTTTATCTTTATGAACTGAGACTGGCAGGAGGCACTGATTGGTACAACAGCGCTCGGCGGCCTCTGGTAGTCTCTCGACTCTCTCCCCGCTCAACTCCAGAGAGAAATAAACTGATGCAAGACTGGGCTGAGATTGACTGAGTTGAGGCAGACAAAAGCGTGAGATATAGCTCAAGAAGGAGATACCAAACAGTAGTACTGACTGATAAAGTGAAGAATATGTATTTTTGTGTGTTTGTGTGTGTGTGTCTGTGTGCATAAAAGAACAGGTGGGAGATTAAAAGAAATATAAAGAAGGTGGAATAAGACAGAAAAAGCAAGAATAGAGACACATATGGTTATTTATGGCACAGGGGCCCCTAAAATATGGTATTGACTCTTGTATCAAACCACTCTTCATTCAAAATTCTGAAGAAAAACTAGAGAAAAGGAAACACACGGGGGATCAGGCAGGGTACGATTAATATCAGAGTCAGACTGTCAAGTTTTGTAAAATTCACAAACATGGTTTACTCGGGTCAGGCTTAACGTTTCACTGTTTAGGTTTTCTTTCTCATTTCCTGCCACCTGCCAATATTGTCATTTACATATGAGGGCGGTGATTCATGCAAGTACCGCTGCAGGAAAAAAATACCACCTGTTCATCTGGTTGTTTAAGGCAGATGGCACAATATCACAATTCCCGAAGTAAACATTAAATATGAAAAAAATATTGTGTTGATTCTAAATGTAACAACAAATTAAGGTTATAAATTGATGGAAAGGAAAAACGAGGAGGTAATTTAGACGAGAAATAGACAAGCATTCGGTGCGATGCCATTCAAGACAGTGACGTGTAGATTAATAGACAGTTGATAATTAGCATGTGATGTCAGCTCGTCACATTGAGACATTCAGAACAACAGAAAGTAAAAGTTAAGCTGGAAGTGCTGGGATTCCGCTTCATAAATCAGAAAATCAAAAAAATGTTACAATTAATTGGCGCTATTGTAGTTTTGCTGGTTTTAAATAAACAGAAACCCCAAAACAGCTGATCTATGACTGAAGGAAAAAACTGCACAATGATGCTAAAACAGTGCAGTGCAGTACGGTGCAGACCTTTTCTAAGCAGCAGAGATTTCAGCTTAAAATTAGCATTCTGTCTGAGAGATAGATCAATACCACTTTCATGTCTGTATGTTAGGAAGAAAGCATACAGACCGGAAGCAGGAGGAAACAGAACAGATTGGAATAATAATTACTAAACTACAAATCGTTATTAATACACTTCTGTTTGTGTACTAGTTAAACAAAGAGACACAAAGTGTTGGTAGAGTTGTTAATAGGCCTAGGTGTGTTGGTTTTTAACTGTGGAGAAAGACGGACTAGCTGTTTCCCCCTGCTTCCAGCCTCCATGCTAAGCTAAGCTAATCATCTCCCAGGTCCGGGCCTTACCGCACAGGCTTGAGAGTGGTATTGATCTTCTCATCTAGCTCTCAGAAAGAAAGGGAATGGGCATGTATCCCAAATTGCTGGACTATGGAGTCACAGAAGCTAGTGGAACAGCTTATCAAACTTATAGTGCCAACTGACAGGAGACCAACACACAGAGGAGGAAGAATTGGGTAATATTCAGGTGGTTATAGGGTAGAAAAGGTGTATTTTGAAGGGGCATTTGGACTTACAGGGGCAGTTGGCGCCATCTGGAGTGCTGGCTGGAGTCTTGCCGTCGGGGCAGCAGCCGAACTCCTTGTTGTCACAGGATGACCTGTCCTCAGCTGTGGGTACAGTGGTGCTTGCCACCGTGGGACCTGGGGGTAATACACAGGGGTTCATAATAATCCATTAAGCTTCAGAAAATTCAGAAATTCAAGCCATTTTATCTCAGATTACAGCTATTTTAAATACTTTTTAGGTTCCGGAGACAGGTAGTGTTTCTAAAATCTAAACCTACAAAACGTTTTGTTTTTCTTCCCAACTTGCTCTTTCTCCTGCAGATGGGAGTGTGTGGAGTTTTTTTTGTCTGCTGACCTCTGATTGGACGCTAATAGAGGCATCTGTCAGGAGTGATTATATGGCATTTTCATGGGAAATGATTTTACACCTGGAACTCATTTTGGCAGGGAACACATAATGGGCACTGTTGCCATTCATGTCACACACAGAGCACTTTAAATGCCGAGGGGATGTGATAACTGCTCTCTGCTGATTGGCTGACAGTTACCTTCAAGGCTTCCGAGGGGAAAAAAGAAAAGAAACATACAGTCGTGTTTGCGTTGCGGTCACTGTATATCTGGCTATCTTGGGACATAAAAGACATAAAAGTGGCCGGGCATTCTCCCTCTGAAGGATGAGAGTGTGTAACAGCAGCGAAGCTCCGTCCTCTCTAATGATTCTGTTGGTGGAGGGAGGGTGGGCGACTTGGTCGAAGCGGTGCAGTTTATGGCCGCACAGAGATTAGAAATAATCGTGGAGGCAAACAGCTCGCGGCTAAACAAGTCGTAAAGACGTCAGAGGCGAGGGACGTCCTGCTCAAGGACTCACGGTCAAAGGAGGCGAGAGGATTGGGGGGAGGAGGGGGAAGAGGCTGGGGTTTATAGGGCATCTGTTGGCGTGTGGTCTGCAGATTTACAGATGCTGGGCCAGAGAGGAGAGCGCCGGTGGGGGAAAGAGGGCTCTGCACAACAGCAAGGGTACGCTGCATGACTCCAGTAGGAGCCATGAGAGCTGTCAAATAAATACACACACACACACACACACACACTGGTACACACACAGGCACAGATTTCAACAGAGCGTGGATACAAAAACACGCACAAACGCACACCTCTGACCTGTTCATATTTATATACTCAGACGGTGATATGTGCACTCGGAATTGGACAAACTCAGTGACATGAGGAGAGGGAGATAAGACTAACACACACACACACAACAAAGATAAGACTTCAACATACATATAAAAAGCACAAGCACACCTCACAAACACAGATTAGTGCAGATTTAAATATCCATGTTGAAATCTGCACAGTGCAATCATCTTCTAATCCGCTCACACTTTCACACTCACAGACTGAAGTGTGAGCTGGTATTTCAATGAGCATACACAATGTAAAAAACATCCAGGCATGCTTGGGTACACACTCATTCACACACGTACACACACACCGCCACAAGACACCGGGTCTCCTTGGTAGACAGGCTACATGCTCCTCGCGTCACCGAGCACTCTGGTCAGCCTCTGACAAGAGAATAAATCTAAGAGTCGGGTAGAAGGAGCGAGAAGGGAGGAGGAAGAGCTGAGGAAGAACACATTGGGGCCACGCTGTTCCATCAATCCTATCCTGTTACTGCAAGCTGTCAGGCAAGGTAGATGGATGGATGGAAAACAACAACTGAAAAATATTTAAAAAAAGGTCTGATTGAAAAGTCTCAGTCATTCCTTGTAGTCCAAGCAGAGGCCCCAGGAACCACAGCCTGCTATTACAGTCAGGGGGGGCATGTCGAGAAAGATTTGAGACTAGTCATGTGACAAGGTACGCGACCTCCACACACACTCACACCTCAGCCTCCTAGTCACATCAGCCTGTCAAGTCAGGCTCCAGAGATCCCCGGATGCGGGCCAACAGTTCTCTCCGGCCTGCCGAGAGTGTATTTTACAGAGCCTGGGTTTGTTTTGCTAGCTTTTGAGAGTGAGAGCGCCGGTGGAATGGGAGAAAAGAGCATGGGTGATGTAGCAACAGTGAACCGTGCAAATACATTCCTTTCTGTCTGAAATTGAGATATACATCTTATGCGGAATGACATCAACAGCATCTGTTTACACAGATTTCTCTTTCCTGCCTGCCTGCCTTTGACATTTGTCTCCTAAAAGACAATTTGCATACAAATACATAATGTAGCTTTCAATTAACAGATGATGGCATGAATGTGTTATGATGTCAGCTAAGAAGAGACTATGAGTTTGTCCAAACCCTTCTCGAAAAAAAAAAAAAGCCCCTCCCACACACCCCTCAAAGCATTATGGGTAATGAAGTGAAAGAGCAGGGATTTACCGACAGGCTCCTCTGCCCCACTGGCCTCTGTTGGGATGCCGCTACCCGCTTCCTCTTCTAGCTCCTCTTCTTCAGTCTGGTCGTCCCCGCTTGGATCCCCGCTGCCCGAGCCCTCGAAGGAGGCCGCAGCGGCTGAGGGGGTAGGGCTGCTGCGAGAGGAGGGGGTGGTGGCGGCAGCGGGCGTGGACTGCGGCTGAGGCTGGGTGTGGATGGGGTGGGTGTGGATGAGGTTGGGATAGGGGGTGGTGGCTGGGGGCTGCTCAGTGGTCACTGTCTCGGCTGTCCT